AGATGATATACACTTTAAAACTCGTCGATTCAAAATTTAAATAATGAAAATTGTACAAAAGATAGAGACATGCTCTCTGAAAAATTTATTAATAGAAATTATCAACTAAAAAAGAAAAAACATTCAAGCTAGTATATATCTATTTATTAAAATTTAGAATTCCATCTTAAAAGACCAAACTTAATAGGAGAAGTCTAAGCCTTTATATAATATATTTATTTCATATTTATTCGATATGAAATTTATCTACAATAGGCCATTGCAGTATAACAGCTCGTTTGAGAACACCAATATTGAAATCAATGTGCTTGTTTTAGTTTTAATCAGATTGAATTGATCATTTAAATTTAATGGACTCATATACCATTTCATAAATTAAATTTTTTATTTGAGTCTCTTGGCTAAAAAACAATAAATTAAAAATATTTATGTTTGTAATCTAAGACCATCCACAACAGAAAAAAAATTACACTTGTACTCTTGAAAATACATTAACTTGTAAAATAGTATGAAATTAATAATCTATCTTAAAAAATTAAAACAATTAAAATTTTCGTAGAAATTAATAACTAACATAAAAGATCAAATGCAATTTTTCTATATTTTTAATACAATATTAATTTCTTATTCATTTCAAGTAGAAGTTCACAGAAAAAATGAAGATAATAAATTTTGAATTTTGTAAATCTTAGACAATAAAATACCGTCTATTAACGTAAAAATTTAATAAAAGATCGTCGTGTCTAGTAATTAAATTTTTGATAGATTTTAAAATGTTTTGATATGTTGTGAAACAACCAAAATATCTCTTGTTAGAAGAAATATTAATATGCCCGGATCGATGTTAGCAATATTGAAAATACAAGAATTATGTATTGTTTGAATACTATTTGATAAAATTAACCACTAAAATGAATTGTTGAAGTTATATGACAAATAATGAAGTAAATTTAGTAAAAGAATAAAAGAAGACAAGAATATGACAGAGAAATTAAGAGATTTTATTGACTCAATAATAAAAGAGAAATGAAGAATATTACAATGGATCCTATAATTATAGTAATCTATTTTCTCATATTTTAAAATTGTATAGAAGAGCCTAGTATTTATAGGGAACATGTAGGGGACGTCCAAACCCTCTTGATAGAGTTGTTGATAAAATAGAATGCCAAAAAATCGAGTCCAAAACGAAGTAGGAATGAAAAACGCGAAAAATCCACATCAGATGGGCGGTGCCTAGGCGCCGCGGTCTCAGCTAGAAATCCCCAAAAAATGTACCAAAGTGTTTTTCTCCATTCCGAATTCTTCTTCAAGTCTAATACCAATTTCCAACTCCCAATTGATATCCAAAAATAGAATTTCAACTTGATATAAAATTCTAATAACATTCCAAATTTGAATTCTCCTTAACGTGCATTTCAATTAGAATTTTTCAATATTTTAAACATTTCAACAAAAGAATTCGAGTCACAATCAAATTCCAACATAATATTTTAAAAGGTATCGTGCTACATAGTATAATATGCATAGTGGATATTTTATTTTATTTTTTTACATTTTCAAATAGGGAAATTTTAATCTCTTTAGCAATTTATTGTTACGTATTATCAAGTTGTTCGACATTTTTTTAGCAAATGGTGTTTTTATTACACTATAGTGAGTGTAGTAAGTAAAACTTAATTTTGAAAACACTATATGTTAAATGTAATACATCCTATATACATGGCTATCAACCCTTCCCATCTTTAGAGGGCGGATACTTCTTGTAGATCTTATAAGTTTGATCATAGTCCACTATATTTACTTTAGCCACAATTGGATCGAACTTATTCTTTACAGAACTCATGTCGTCTTTTTCAATCAAAGTCTAACAATTAGTTCTTGAATATTAATTTTAGTTCACTCGAAATTAATATAATTCTTTAGATATTATAGAGTCCAATACGTTTATAGGAATTGTCCGTCAAATTAACGATCACAATTATCCATATCTTCGCTTAAGAACTGTTCATATTCAAAATCTAACAATTAGTTTTTCAATATTCATTTCTTTATGCTCTCATTTGAGATAATTCTTGAAATATGAATGCGTCTAATAATCAGTTCATAGGAATTATCTGTCAAATTAATGATACAATTATCCGTAGTCTTCGATTAGAAAATTATCCGATCCGATAATCCAACGGATATTTGATTGTTAAAATTCATATCCGATCCGATAATTCGATTCGAAATTAATAAAAATTAGGGAAAAAAATCAATGTTTGAATCAATAATCATAAATTAAACGAAAAATTGAAAATCGTCAAATAAACCGTTGAACATGCTAGTTAACTGTAAACCAAAAAATCGGATCCGATTTTTCCAAATAAAATGATTTTATGTTCTTTAAAAAATTTTGAATTAACTTGAAGCTCACCTGTTTTTACTAGTAAGCCCAATAGTGACTTCTACCATCATGATGTTCCCTTTTAAAGAAGAGACCATCTTCTAGTTTTCTATTGACATTCGATGTGGGATAAGGTAAAATTGAATTTCAATTCTAAATATAAATATTTTATTTCATTATTTTTCCATTAACAAATTAAATTATTTGTTACATATTAATTANATTATTTGTTACGTATTAATTATTAATTTTTGAAGTTGAATAATAAATTTAATTAAGAAAAATTTAGATATTTATTTACTTTAAATTAGTAAACTAAAATTAAAAAAAATGTATTGTTTTTATAATATTTTACATTTATGTGTATAGTAATTTATTCAATTCGACAATCGGTTCGATACTTATTCAACCCCGGTTCGACTTTTTGACCTTTGACCCTCTTCCTTTTCCGGGTCGATGCCCGTGTCGATTTTTAAAACATTGGTTGAAATCAATTTTATTTTTTTTTTCAAATTTTCCAATTCTTTTAATAATTATAAAATTTTCAACTTTTTTATGTTTTGAATTTTATTACTTTTTTATTCTAAATTTATTTATTTTCTCATTTATTTATTTTGGTGAAAAATAATATACCATAAAAATATTTTGCCGACTCAATTATTCATAACAAATCGGATCGAATTGTTATCGGATCGGATTGACCTATATCCATAATTGATCCATTTATTAAAGGATTATCGGATTCGGATCTTGATCGAGTTATCGGATTAAGACCCTAAATCTATCTTCCATTAATTTCATCGGATTCGGATCGGATTCAAATCCATTGACAGCCCTAGTGATTTCCATACTCTTAATTCAATAGGTTCCACTAACATTTTTTTTTTTTTTTGTCATGCTGCTGATAGAATTCCAATTCTTCTGGTAATATCTCTTTGGTGAGCTTGGAAGTACTAACTCAACTCATCCGACAAAAATAGAAAAGTTCATAATGGCGGAGGCCATTGCCCGTCCCTTTGCTGATAAGCTTGCAGATTACGCTATTGCTAAAATTTCCCGCCAATTTAAGTACCTGTATCG